ATACTTAAATTTGTATACTCTTTTCGGTCTCTGTTGTTGGAAGAGTTTAGAACCCTTCTTCCCCTTTCCATTCCCACCATCTTTGTCTTGCAGCAGCAAAAAATAGGACAAGTGATATGATATCTAGTCTATTTTTTTAACCATGTTCAATATGATATTTAGTGTTTTTTTCTTATGTAAAGAGGGCAAATAAATGGAGAGTGGCACACCCAAGAGTGTGGCCTAGTGGTAAATGGAGAAGGCGCACCCAAGGGTGTGGCCTAGTGGTCAATGAAGTGGATTGAGAACCTGAGGTCTCAGGTCAAATCCCAACGGAGACAAAAATAGTAGGTGATTTCTTTCCATTTATCCAAACCTTGCTAGATAGAGTTACCTTGGTGGATAAAGTTGCCTAATACCTGTTGCTAGTGGGAGTTAGCTTGTATCCCGTGGAATTAGTCGATGTGCATGCAAGCTGGCCCGGAAACTACGTCTGTTAAAAAAGAAATAATAATAAATGGAGAATGGCCGCCGGGACTCTAATAGCAAACATGCTTTGCATTTGAATCATGTGCCAGAGGTTTAACGTCGTTTTAAGCTGGTGTTTGCAGCTTAAATCTGGTAGTAGATTTCCTTTGTAGCAGAGAGCATTGGCATTTGCGAAATTAAGAGTGTCCTCAAGCACATTGAAGATTTTGTCTAGATCTTGCTGGAAGAGAGAGATGCCTTTTTAGTTTGTCACATGAAAGTGGAAAAGCTGCTTTCTTTTGTCTTTGGGAGTTCTGTAAGCTAAGTTGTGCATAAGTTCGTAGTTGCTGAATATATGAGTTGAATGAAAGAAATTTCATCTTCTTTTGGTAGCAAGTCCAAAATTTGCTTGATATTGATTTTGACTCCAAATTTTTTCTTTCAGATGCTTCTTTTTTGGTGACATATCCTCAAAAAGGGATCCCAAAACATACTTGGCTTATATATTTGCCTTGTATGATCACTACCGGAGAACATACCTGTTGAGCAATGGCAAAAGTCCTGGAAATGCTGGGGTTCCCCTTGTCATTAACACAACGGGCTGGGTGAAAGGCAAGCTTCTGTATTTATTTACTTGCTTTTGCCTGAATTTAGGCTAGTGTGGTTCGTTTTATCATCGATTTGGATGCAATTTTCATGATCAAGTCTGATTCTGGTTTTCTCATCTTACAGGTATTGGCTATGACATTCTTGTGGATATTCTAAAATACATCTCTCCTACCCATGTTGTAAAGATTTGCATATCAGCTGAGAGCAAGAATCTTCCAGCTGGTGCATTTTGGGTTGAGGATGGTGATGCTGCTGTTTCAACTCTAATTGAGATCAACTCTGCTCGTCAGGACTCTTTTAACAGATCGTATGTGTTTATCTTTTCTCTCTTTAGTTTTTACATCAGATGAGTGAAGTTATATTCCATTTGAGTTGGAAATAATTCTCTTGACAAAGATGCTTTTCCTAGTACATTAACATCTCTTTACCTTAGCCCTTAAAATATGTTAAGGGAGGGAGGGTGGAAAG